CCTTAACTTACCTCCTCTACAACACACACCCACCACACACACACACACACACACACACACACACACACACACACACACACCCCTACACACATCCTAGGGGAGGCCTGACTTCTTTATCCCCCATATATCTCTTGGACTTCTGTGGCTGTGACAACCATGGAGCTAGTTCATTTGCCCCCTAGAGTCTTTCTTCCTACATAAGGTTTCTTACTTTCTTTAGTGGGGATCCAAATCAGTGTGTTTTTAATCTTTAAAATGATATTTCCTGAAGTCCCTTTTATTTATCTTCTGTTTTGCCTCTTTTGTCCCTTCCTGGTGCCTGGTCTTTTTAAGCCCAAGGCTTTCTTTAGATTCCCAGAGCCAAATTCAGATCTCAGAGCTTTGGTCTTTGAAGGGACACTCAGTGGTGCAAGGGTGAATATAAAGGCTAGGAACCACTCCCTATCTTGAAATCTTCATTTTCTGGAAGACAGTGTTTTAAAGTAAAAAGATTTTGGCTTTCTGGCATATCTGTTGCAGAAAACAACTCTTTTTGGAAGAAAAAAGAGTAGAGAGACAAACAAGACTTTTATGTCTGAATGTGAATGAGGTAATGTCCTTGCCCACCATACTAAGCCTATTCTCTCCCCTTCATGCCATCTCCCCTACCCCTACCCTTCAGACATCCTGGATGTATACTCTCTGCCAGATCTCACCCCAGTGCAAAGTTAAGAGGATTTCCATTCATCCCTGCCCCTCAATAGGTCAGAAAGTGAGAATAGCTACAAGATCAGACAAGAGTCTTTGTATCTTACCTCTTTTGCCCCTGGGGTGTAAAGAGAAGAGATAATGGCTGGAGCCAGTAGGAGCATCCATTCTACTTGCCCTCCCTCCTGCATTCCTCTGTTCAATTTAAGAGTCTCTGTTCTTCATTTAGGCAATGACTTGAGACTATTTAGCAGTGGGAGGGGGACAAATACCCCATATTTAAAAGCCTGCTGCAGGTAGATTGCAGATATTTGAGAAAATCTGTCAATTATAACACTTTAGTGCTGTATAGTCTAAAAAAGTTCATTCCTACATTATGCCTATTTTAAAGATGAAGAACCTGAGCCCTTGACAGGAGTAGTAGCTTACCCAAAGAAATTTGTAGTTGGGAAAGACAACTTGCTCCACATGCCCACCCCCAGACCCAGGTGTGGATCCCATGGCTGAGAATAGAGGCTAGGGAAGGGCAGATAGAGAAGACACTACTCTTGGCTGTGTCAGAGGGATAGACAGGGCTGTTGGAGGGCACTGGTTATTTCTCTCCACTAGACACTGCTCAAATAACCCTTAAAAGATCATTAAGGAGCACAGGGAAGAGACTTAGGAGATTGATTAAGGCAGTTCATCTCCATCACCAGAAAAAGCAACTGGTCCCATAGTCTAAGTGCTGCTGAGGCAGCAGTATAGTCTAACATTGAAAAATAGCACATGACTTCATCTGCACCCAGGACAGTGATGGTTTGTTTGTTTATTTATTTATTTATTTATTTATTTATTTATTTATTTATTTTTCTTTTGGCTTTACTCTATCTGAAGCTCTTACCTCCTATGGCCTACAAAGCCCTTCCCCTTCCTACAGGTCCCTCTAGACTCGCTGCATTCCCTGGGTCAGCTGGAAGTTCTTACACATATTTGAAGAGCAAAAGTTCTGTGTTGCAGCATAGGGCAGGGCATCCCTGTGGATTTCCTGGGCCTCATAATTTATTTGAAATGCTATAAATCTCCACCTCCAGCAGGCAGCAGAGCTGGAATTTGCCCTCTTGTAACCTTACAGAAAATTTCTGAGCCTAGATTGGAGCCTGATTTCCCCAAACTCCCTCCCATCAGTCCCCCAAAGATATTTCCCAATATATACAGGGGCAGCTGAGTAGGGAGAGGAAAGGAGCCCCACTGCCTCTTTCTATTGACATGTCTATTGGATCCCAGTTTTCTCACCACCCCTTCCCATTCGATTCTTTCAGAAGTGTGCTTTTGCTTTAATTCCTACTTAGAAATCTCATAACTAGGGAGGAACAAGCTCCTTGGAGGCTGTATTCTTCTTTATTATCTGATTATTTTTCTGAGGCCTGCACAGCTAGTTCCTGTCCCACAAGTACTCTGTAGTTAATTAAGTATATTAGGTAGCATGTACACTTCGTCACCAAGTCCTACCCCTGGCAAATGAATGTTCCTTACAAGAAGATCTCTGCTTTCAGGATTTTATTAAATACATCTTTGGGGATAGTTTATCTACAAACACTGATTAAGGCCCCCCTAAGGCAACCCATAAGTCAGGGTGCTAAAAAGCACTTGGAAAAAACACCCCATTGTACTGGACTGAGAATTAGAAGCAGTCGAATTACAAGCCTGCACCAGGCAGCCTGGCCTCATATAAGTGCTAATAAATATGTGTGAGCCAAGGGTTTAGGCCTTGATTTTTAGGTTCTCTGTATTTTTCTTTCTGGGACAGTTTATTCTTAACTCACTGGCTCTAATTAGTCATATCTACTGCTTCTGGTAGGGCAAAAACTAATTACCCAAACAAAAGGTGATTCAGCTTGAGCAGGCTTTAGGTGTTCAAAGGTCACCATATGCCTGGCTGTGGTTCAAGCCCAAGTCTAATGCTACTGCATCTATGGGAAAGATAGTGATATATCACAGTTGTAATAACAATAATATAATGATAAAATGTTACAGCCAGCCCTCTTCACTGTGCCTGCTCTAGACTTATAATTTACAAAGCTCTTTTACTTTTATAGTCTCATTTAATCCTCACAAGCTCCTGAATAGGGTGTTATTATATCCTTTTTAAAGATGAGAAAACCAGCTCATATTAAATACATGGCTTGTCAGGCCAGCAATCAATCTGGTTCAAGTCTCCTGATCCCCAGACCACCACTTTCTCTCCCATTTCATGGCTTCTCTTTAACAACTGCTTTAAGATGGTGCAGTTACCATAGTGGCCCTGGGGGAAACACTGAAGAAAAACCAGCAGCCATGTAGCTAAATTCCCCAATAGTATATCCACAAATAATCATGACAAAGCTCATTGTAAGCCCCACTCAAGGCAACAAACTTCCTGGCTAAAATACCCAGCCCAGAATAACTTCTTAGCACTGAACTTTTCTGTAGCAATTAAGACACTAGATTTGGTTACTGGGACTACCTCAGTGCACAGATGTGCCAGTCAGGAGCAGGGTCCTCATGGTGAGAACATTATCTGACCATCCCAAGTCATACCCAGAATCACCTTGGTTCTAACTTTCATTCTGAAGTTCAAAAATTGTAGTTAGCAATTAGAATAAGGAAATGAAGTTTTACTTTGCTTTTTAAGGTATCTTGGGTAGAGGTGTGGTGAAGCATGCTTTTCTTCTTTATAATTGTGGTTAGCCATGGAAAATATCACACTGAAGTGTTTGTCCCATGGCAGATGCTTTTAAAGATTTCCTTCTCATTGCTTTTAAAGAGCAAGCATCTTTGAAGGCCTTGCTTTCATGTATCTTTTCTATTTAGGGGTTATTGGTCAGTGGAAGCATAAATGGCACTTGATAGAAATGTTTTCAATATGCCCAGAAGACTAGATAATAGTTGAGTTGTCTATATTTGAACTAGCAAAAGAAAGTTGTCATTATTTATAACAGAGGGGATGTGTTTGCTGGGGATGTGATTGGATTTTTGATTCAGTATCTTCTCTGTACACCTGAATTTGGATTTTGACAGAGAGGAGTCTAAGAAAGCAGCTTTCTCCTCCAAGGTTCTCAGACCCAGGCTAGCTAAAAGTGTCAATACTGCAGCACCCTCTCCCCAACACACAGCCCTACTATACTGGGAAAATAATCTCTCATGCCCCAACCCCCTGCTTACCTCACTACCAAGGTCTCTGGTGTTTTGCATTTAATGTAGATAAATTTTAACTTCTATTCCTTCCTAAGTTGGTTATTTATAGAGATTTTGTTTAATCTTGAGCCATATGTATGTGTGGCTACTGGCAGAATTGTTACTTCTGATGATCTGAATATATGTCATATTAGCCAATAATGACAAATACAGCCAAATACCTTGTTTATTCCTCTACTTTCAAAGAACTAAAGTACCTCATTTGGCTGATGTGGCTTTGCTCAGTGAGTACAGCAAGGAAATGTGTTTCTTATCAGTTAATCCAGCACCAGAGGTATTGGAATCCACTGACTTGTCACCTAGGAGATCTGGGTTATACTCCAAGCTCTCCCTCTATATTTTTTGAATTGTTTATGACATTTATCTTTTTGTCTGTGCTACAGATCTACTAGAAAATCTTGTGATCTAAATTAATACTTCATAAACAGGGTTTCATGGCCCTAAGAGGACTGTGCATGTCTTTGAGGTCTTTAAAATCTCTAGGAGTTTGTGTGTGTGTTTTCATTTTAATCATAATTTTGTTTAAAAAAATATAAGCATATTATGTCTAGACCATCTAGATGATTATCTCTTAAGAGTACTAACTGGCCATTTCGGAGTCTGTGTTTGTGTCTACCATCTCATTGGATTCAAGGAACCGCCTAAAGAGATACTACT